GGCTTTCACCTGCTCCCCCCCCAGGGAGGGGCGGGGCGGCCGGCGAGCCGTGAGAGCCAGCCCCAGGGACCCCCACCCCACGTCCCCCTGGCCCCAGCACCTACATGAGGTCCCAGTCACGCTGCGCCCCCTCCAGCTCCTCCATCAGCCGCTGCAGCCGCGCCGGGAAGGCGGCCTCGAAGCGCACGTCGTCCTCGAAGACCACTGACCGCTCCAGCCCCCGGGACACGATCTGCAGGGAGGGGGCAGAGGTGCAAACCCATCCCAGCACCGCGCTGGGCCATACTGGGTCCACTCACCCTGCAGGACACCCCTCTCCCCAGGTCCTCCAGAGACCTGGTGATGCTCACGGGGTCCCTGCCCCATGCTTGGGACCCCATGGCCCCCGTGGCCCCGTACCTCCTTCCAGACGTGGTAGTGGCTGAGGAAGCAGCCGACCTCGCCCTTGGTGAGCGTGCGGCCAGAGAAGGGGTCGTAGTACCCAGGGAGCAGGTCCACGCCCAGCACCTTGATGTCACTGCTGTTGAGGGTGCTGCAAGGCAAGGGGCTGCATCAGCAAGGCGTCCCTCCCAGCCACCCCCCGTCCCCTCCCCAGGGTGACATCGGGGGCGCTGGCAGAGTAGGGATGTGTCCCCCCACGGTCACCTCCCATCCACGGCATCCACCACCCGCGGGGCGATCTCCAGCTCCCGCAGGGACGCCAGCATCCGCCGACGCCGGTCTGGCCTCCGCACCAGATTGATGAGGAAGATCTGGGGAGGAAGGGGAAAGCCCCGCCGAGGGGGCACGTCATGGAGGGAGACAGCCTGCCCAGCCACTGTGGGATGGGAGACAGGGGGCTCAGCCAGCTGGGCTTTGCCATGGACAGATGCAGATGGAGGGACGGACAGGGGGACATGGGGGGTCCGTTGGGCACTTACTTCATCAAAGCCCATTTTCGTGAGTGGCTTGGGGAGGAGGGAAATGTGCCTGGAGCGCTGCATGGGGGGGCCATCCACTGAGGAGAGAGAGGACGCCCCTTCAGTAGAGCCCAGACCCCCCTAGCCGGTCGCTGGGGCCAACAGCCCTGCCATGGGGACCGGCGCTGGGCCCCCATCACCCCTGGGGTGGGGGACACCTCCGGGACCCCGCCACCCATGGGTGCTCACCCATGGCCTCTAACGTGAGATGCACAAAGTTGGCGCGTTCGTCCTCCAGCGTCTGGTGGGCCTTCACGGGGACGTTGATGTAGCCAAAGCGCTGCTGGTTGCACACGTGGACCTCCGCACCTGCCAGGTGGGACAGGTGAGTACCTCGGGGCCGCGC